ACAATTGTTGCTCAGTTGCTGCTGTGCCATGTACTGATGTTCGCTTGTAGGATTATTCTTATTCTTGTAGTTTATTGTATTGTGTTCAGGTAGCAAAATGTTCATATAAAACTATTTGGTTTTGCTTTTGCTTCATTGCACAATCGGCTTTATAGTGCACAAGAAAAGGACTTCATGGAAAGTAAGAGGAAAGTCAAAAAGAAAATGACTGCAGAGATTATGACTCAGTTGTTTGTACTTTGCCCTTGTTGCACTAATAGACTAGTTGCTGCCTGCAAAAATAAAAGACTAGTACAAAAGAAAATAAGCTTGAGTCTAGAGCTATAAACAAAAATCAATTAGACCAATCCATGGAGCACAAGCGAAACGACAATATTTACACGGTGAATGTCAACTTTTAAAGTTCATATTGTGGTGGAATAAATGGCAGCATTGTTGTTTCAGCCCTTTCCATAAAAACACACACGTGCTCTCGCTCCCTGTCTCTTGCTCTCTCACTCGAATTCCTTTCTTTCTCTTTTCCAATGTGCCTCTCTCTCTCTCAGCTGAAACCTTTCATTTGCCTGTTTGTATGCAGATTTGTTTGCTTTATCGATTGTACGATAGCATGGACTATTTGACTGACCTCAACACCGTTTGGTTGTCCTGCGTTGCCGTTTCTGTTTGCCCGCCTTTCTGCACCTAGCAAAGCAAACAACTTCCGTGTGATGGCACGGCTAAGCCGGAGCACTCAGTCAATCGGACGAAGCGTCTAAATGTCTGCACTCTGAGTACATTCATGTTGGTTTATTTTTGGATTTTTTCTTATGCACACATCTGTCTCAAAGATTTTAAAAAGCGACAGCAATGGTAGCAGTTGTCCTAAAGATATTTAGATTAGCCTCATGCTAAGCCCAATTATCTAAGAAAGTTCTATTGAACTTGGAATATTAGTTCTTAAATCTGGCCACATAACTATACTAATCATATGGCATTAGATTATATGTATATTTACCTTCGTTATAAAAAGTTGTAGGTAGTTGTAAATGGCAGAAAGTTCATCACATATAGAATTCTATTTAATTAATTAAATCAGCAAATTTAAGACACAGTTAATCTAAATAAGTGGCTGATTGCTGCGAATTACGTATAAGTTTGTATAGCTTGCTAAACTCAGCAGCACTCAACAGTCGCTGGCTGATGGAAAGGGTGGTTCCGAGTCGATGATAAACAATGGCTTTCCGTTGTCTGCCGGATAATATGAGAGTCGAACTTAAATGAACAATCGATGTTATCTGACGTAGCTGGCCCATGGAAGCCACTTGGGCAGCGCGCACGTTTTTATGGAAGGTACTTAAATGGGGGAGCTCTGGAACTTTAGCGCCAAGTTAATGCGTTTTATCAATTGAGTTCCATCAAATGAAACACTTTGTAGCGAGAAGTGAAAGCGAAATGAAGCCAAATAAATTGGATTCCTCAAACGGAATGGGAGTCCAAAAGTTAGTTAGTGGTGCTCCACCGAGTAGCCCCCCGCCGCATAAATTAGTTGCCATCTTCAATATGAGAACGCAATCTCATTGCCTTAAAAGTATTTATTGCCAGTCTTCCCAACGAAGGTGGCTTCCAGATTAAAGGTGTGTTCTGCTTTACAGGCAAGCAGGCTTTTTGTTTTACTCTTTTATGGCTTGATTCATCCTGACTTTAATTGCAGCTGTTTCTCTCATTTTCTGCCGCGATACTTAAGCCCGGATATGAAGGAGAAACATTTATGAAACTATTCTTAGCATTCAGCCTTAAAACTTGTGAAAAGATTATAAGCCAGTCGAGAACAACTATATATTCGTTTTTCCTCTGCTCATTATGCATATCCACTATGCTCTCAAATGAATTCCGCTGAATTGCAAGTGAAGCCGCCACTGAAGAAATATAAAAGAGGAAAATTCTTTGAGTTTCTGAATTTTAATAAATTAAGATGAAATTCTTTATTTATAGCACACAGAACATTTAACTGGAATCGTACATATTATATATGAGAATCGTATGCAGTTTCTTCTTATTTCTTAACCTATATACATATATGTCACATTTATATTTATATTCATATTTCAGAAAGTATGTTGAAAGCTGAACAACACACAACGTTAACAGTACCATATATATTTATGTGTTTATATTTAATATGCTTTGTGCAACATTTTGGTTTCGGGCTTGGATTTCTGTAATTCTGTAATATGTTCATATCATTTGGATAATTAAAGGTACAACTCTCATTTTATATTTAGTGATAGTTCTTATATACGGCAAGAATCGCAATTTGGCCTCAAATATATGTAGTTATAAACATATAGACACACAATTAGCTAGAATGAGATAATAATCTCATTTGTCTTTGGACTAACTACTTAATAGATACATAGATTAAACCATTCTATATTACTTAAAATACACACATAATTTATAGTGGTTTAAACGGAAAAAGCTGAATTAATTTTGGTTTTACCAAAGACTGTTAATAATATTTTAATTATGAACTTTTATATAGAAGTTCCTAGCCTAGGCTAATGTCCTATTCCCATTTCTGCTTAGACGCTTGCATCGCTGTACTCAATTCGAACTGTGCGCCGCGGTCGCTGCCCTGTTATTGCATTGGGATTCGTATCGCTGGCTGCCAGGCTGCGCAGCGCCAGCAGCTCCCGAGGCTACAATTGCGTCCGCTTTGACGTGCTATTGCTGACTGAAGAGGGCGCATCGCCTGGAGCCTCAACGTAGGAGTAAGAGGGCGTTTCCATGACTAGAGGGTGGCAAATCTCATAGACGGGCACCTTTAGGCTCGTCTTGCGCAACCCGCCCAAGCTGCTTTGTGAGCTTGAGCTGGGCCCAAACGAACGTCATCTGGACTCGTTACCTAGCTCAGAGTGTGACTGGTGCAACTCGCTCTCGTCGCCAAAGCTGTGAGCCGCGGCGCTAGGCGTAATACTGGGCGTACGTCCTTGGATGCGTATCGCCGACATGTCAGAGCCACGACGGGAGCTCTTCAGGGAAACACTCTGGCGGGAACAGAAGCAGCGGCATATGATGCGCTTGAAAGCAAAACGAAAGTCTTTGGAAAAGAGCGCATAAATCATGGGATTAACTGCCGAGTTGCAATAGCCCAACCAGAAGAGCACCGAAAACAGTAGCGGATCAACGCAGTCCTGACAGAAGGGCCTGATAATATAAATTGTAAAGAATGGACACCAGCAAAAAATGAACATGCCCACAATAATGGCCAAAGTTTTGGCCGCCTTCGTCTCCATGCGAAAACGCTTGACTTGTGCCTTAATATTGCGCCTGCCCATTTTTTTGTTCGCGGATCTCGGATGACCCACAACGCCACCGGCCTCGCTGGTGTTGCTCTGTCGTCGCGATAGTTCTGGCAGCGTTTTGCCGACCTGTAAGAAGCACGTGCTACCTCCATGATGCTGCTGTCTATAAAGCTGCGACTCTGTCGACTCACGTCCATGGGCGCCATTGTAGTGCACGGAGAAGAGGGCATTGCCGGAGGTGCGCCGTTCATGCGTTGGCTCCTGTTGGGCCATTTCATTTATATTTTCGCTAGACGGATACGATACAGATATCTTTATTTTATCGTGCTGGTGATGTAAACGACGCGTCGCATATTTGCTCAGACGCTCCGGCGACGGCGTGCCTAGAGTAGTTGTGGTACTTTGAGTGCTCCCGTTGCTGTGCATCGAGTCCTGCTGGTTGGAGCCGCGGCCGCGGTGTATGCGCAACGTTAAACGCTGCTCCTCGAAACGAGAGCCAATGCCCTTGGAGCCTGTTGAATGGGAAAAATTGAATTAACATTAGTTTGACGTTGCACACATTTCACATACTGATTCCTGTTTTATTGAATATCGCTCAAACACCCCGCTGCATAGTACGCGCTGTGCGTTTAACTGCCCTCAGTTACCATTGTCATTGCCTACACTGTTTGGCACATCTTCCCCTCCCCTGTGACATATCTTGGCGCTGTGCCAGGCTGCACTTTAGTAAATTAAACGCGTAATTATGCAAATGTCTTGGCATAAGCACAACAAGCACTCAATGCAGGCCCTTGTCTCGCCGCTATCCTTGGCAACAATATTGTCCTATTGCTCGCCTTAGTCATGTTTAAGCTGCTTTCAAAGCGAACTTTATTTCATTAACACACATACATTTGCATAATTTCACACACACATACAACCACTCACGCACTTTAGCATTCGTGTTGGCTGGGTCTGCTGCCCGTTTTGCATTTATTACTCATACGCACGCTTAACAGCTGTATAAATTTTCATTACACGCCGCGTGAATGTAATGAATAATCAGCACAATAATGCCATGTCATTGGGATTGCTGCTGCCATTCCTACACTGTTCAATAATTTATGACTGTATGATACGGTCCGACCTGCTACTCTGAGTTTGACCTATGTTGACCATTTACTTTGCGCTTAATCTATCTAGACACTTTAATGGAGACGTAGGTCACAAGCACTGCAATATTTCTTAAATATATAGTCTGCTAAGGTGGGCCAGAATAATTATATTCATTGGCAATGTGATTAAAGTAATTGCATGGCCAAGATAACTAAATCTGAGGTGAAAATAGAAAGTCTGCCAAAAGCACTGTAACTAATGAGACTTTTCCAAAAATTGATCTTAAGCCACGGGTAAAGGAATTACGTTAGTTTTCTTTAGTAACAGTTGAAAGTGAAAACTATTTACTTTATTATAGATTAATCATGTTTATGTAGTCACTTTGATATGTGGGAATACTTTTTATTTCTGTTGAATTGCTTCAAATTAATTACGCTTAAGTCAGTTTAAGGAATTGTGTGTGTGTGTGTATGTGTATTGAGTTGTATATTTTGAACAGTGTGGGGTTGGTTTTTACCTTTTGTGTGCTTTTGTTTACCTGTAGAACATCAGAACTGCTGTGTCTAGCAATTATTCTTAATATAAATTACCTTTAATTTTGTCGGCGATCGATTTTTGCTATTTGTTTGCTTTCATTTTATTGAAAATTATTTTCACTTAACCAAATTATTGGCCGATATACATATATTAAATATTATATTACTCATAAAACTGAACTGATAAGCTCTACTAACAAGAAAGTGAAACAAATGTGGGCCTGCTTAATATATGTAGTTACATCTCGAAGTTCTTAGCTCAAAGTGTGTTTCTTTGAAGTAACATTAATTTAGCTTAAAGTACGGATATAGGTACAAGTATATGTATGTTATGTCTTATGCCTAGTTAAATACGTGAAAATTATTGCCATATTGTTACAACGTTGTTCAATGCGAATACTGTAAATGTCAGTGGGGCTGACGGCGTTTACAAAAGTACAAAAGCGATGTGCATTGCCTTATGTCAAGTATTTGTAAGTATTTCTTGTTGTTGTTGTTATAGCTGGAACTCCTGCTGCTGGGCTTGCTTAGAGCACACGACCCTTACAGAAGCCGCCGCGCCGTATACGTCTGCTGCCCGTGGTATCCGTATCACCATCTCTGATGCTGGCTTCCTGCGGCAGTGAGGCAGTGCGCTGCAGGGGACTCGGTTCGTAGTTGCCCATTAGTCAGCTGAAATCAACACCGTCGCCATCGTCGGAACAGCCTGAAATGGTTTTGTGGAAAGTGGCGGGCGCCATAAGAGCACGTGCGGCAATCATCTGGAAATTCTCAGAAGCCCGAAAGCCGCTGCGAGTGCAGACGCAACGGCAGACTATGCGCTTGAAGGCGATGCGAAACTCGTGGGAGAAGAGGGCATAGATCACCGGATTAATGGCTGAATTGCAGTAGCCCAGCCAGAACAATACCGAAAATACTGTTGGCTGAATGCAGTCCTCACAGAAGGCGCGTATCAGATACATCGTGAAGAACGGCAGCCAACAGACTATGAAACCGCCCACAATGATGGCGAGTGTTTTAGCCGCCTTTGTCTCCATGCGAAAGCGCTTCACTTGGAACTTTGCACTCCGTTTTCCGGAACGCTTCTTGGCCGATGTCAAGCCAGTCGAATTGCCACTCTCCAGATCAACTGCTGTTGTGCTGGCCGTGTCCAGATTGAAGGTCGTTTCGCCAATGTCAAAGAGGCTGCTCTTGAATGACGCACGTCGACCGTTGGTAAGGTTGCTGACACCAGTTTTGGTGCTGCTGATGACGGCATAGTGAGGCGAGGGTGGCGGTTGCTGCGTAACTCCCATACGAGGTGATTCCAACATGTTTTCCGATGATGGAAAAGAAACCTTGATGGATACCTTCTCATGCCGCTGGCGACTCACACGCATCGAAGTAGCTCTTTTTGGCGTGCCCGTTTGGGAAGCAGGCTGTTGATCCTCATTCGCAGTGGTTAGGGCGGCTCCTGTTGCTCCATTACTATTCACACTCAGCGTCGAGGACATGGAGTGTACTGAAAGTGGCGTGCGCTGCGGAGTGCCGCAAGGCCGACCGCGATGGATGCGCAGTATTAGCTGAGAGTCATCAACGCGATTGTTGCCCCCCGATTCGCGTGGACTGCCTGCAATAAGTCAGTGTGGGAATTTGGCAGGAAGTCGAAATGGGACTCAATACAAATATCACATCAAATGCAATCACATTATGTTATTTTGGTTGTATGTAGTGGGTGTCATCGTGAACACATGAAAACATTTAGCTTGTATTATACATGAGCTTGTGTATGCGTGATTGTTGTTTCTTTTTGGATCGGTATTGATTTTTGATTATTTCGAATTTTCTTTGGTTAGAGACACACAAAATTTTAGTAATTAGGGCACACATGAGGAGAAAACGGGAATCTAACTACGTACGTTAACATATAGATATTTAGTGGAAAATTTATCAGTTTATCTTTAATTATAAAAATGTACACTACTAAAATATATTATATAATATTTAATATAATATCATATAATTTATAAATGTGTAAAGATAAGGTAGATTTTCACTTTTAAGTGAAATTTATTGCCTAATTTCTGGGGCATGCTACAAAATTTAAATTGATTTATTTTTAAGATACTAAAAATATGGTTTATAAAAAATTTTGGTTTTATTATAATAGAACATGCCCAAATGCACAAATGCTGGGTTTCAAATAGCCTAATTACAATTGAGTGTTGAAAAATATTTATCAAATAATTTATTTAATTAAAAATAAGTAATTACGTGTTTCGGGAAGTTTGTTAATTAATTAGCTGAAATTATCTATGCTTATCTTTTACTGGTTCGTGCTGACGCTATTCAATTGCCAGCGTCGTTGGGCCCTATTCGCATTACCAAATAAAGTTGGGTTTTCATAGTCAGTTAATATGGCAAAACATTGACACATTGACGAAATCAAATAAATGAGAGGTAAGAGTGTAATTTATAATGGAAATAATTTACTTTTTTTTTATCAAATTAAAATATCATGAAAATTTGATTCTTTCATTAAAAAATTTAAATGCATAAAAATAAAGCGGACTTAATTAACAAATACTTTTTATATACAACATTTTTCAGTAAAAAATTGAACTGAATTTGTATGGCATTCATTTTGGCAAATGCAAAAGAAATAAATGACAGAAAGTAGGTAAAGCTGAAAAATTCCATTTGCATAAAAACAAACCTTTCGACATATGTAGAAATGTAAATATGGTGCAGAAGCCTTTGATATTAAAAGCCCGAATGAAAAAGAAAAACATCCATTGAAAAGCTTTTAATAAATTTGATAAAGTTTGAAAAGGGAAAATGCGAAACGGCATATTTTCCCATTAATGTGAATATGAAACTATTTTATATTTATTTCCCGATGCGGAAGGCTTACGAACAGCCGCAAGCATTGAGATGGATGAACATATCTAAGCATTTAGGTTGAAGCAAGGCCTTCTCCACAAACAAGCGAATAAAATGAAACTGTTTTCCACCCAAATCATTGACAAATAAAATTGCCACGCATATGCAAATTTGTCGTTGGAAGCCAAAGCCCACAACAGAAAAGTACATGAAAAAAAAAAGTAAAACATAATAAAACAAAACACATAAAATATTTACTTCTGTGTACCAATATAAATACCAATTCATCGCCAATTTATTTGTAATGGATTTTGTGGCATTTCAAATAATTATATAATCAATTATTTGGCGATTGCCGTCATTTGTAATCAACTTCTAATATGCGGTTGTTCAATGGTTTCAATATATAATAAAACCGATTTATTTTGGTTTTGTGGCATTTCTGTTTTTGTTATTGTTCATTTATTATTTTGAAATGACCTTTTTGGGAAAATGCAAGACTGAAACTGATGCGAGTGAAAGTCAAGGTGAAATTTTAAATCTGAGAAAGGCTGGCGTAAAAGTTCCAACGCCTGCTGTTGACACGAGCCCTGGCCCTGGCTATGCCCATTGAAATTGAAATTTTGAAAGTCCTCAGTTTGTGTGCAACTGGCGAAACAACAAAAACAGGCTCAAGTGCCACGCCTGACACTCTCCTTCTATTGCTGCTGTTGGTAGTGCTACTGCGTATATTTTAATAGACGTTGCCATGAACCTCAACTAGTTTATGAACTTGAAACTTGATTACCTTCAAAAACCACTAAAGGGCGAGTGGGCCATATAGGAATCCTACCCTCACAACAACAATAATAATAAAAAGCAAAAACAAAAACAAAAACAGAAATTTTGCACACGCCCCCGCGTTGTGTCACGAAATGTTTTCAGACTTTTGCGTTTCGTGCTGTGTGCTAAAACTAGGACCGGCGCGCAAAGTGAAAGAAATGAAGACACGCACGGCGAGTGGTCCGTACAAAAAAATATAACAAGCTCAGCGCCGCTGTGTCTACATGTGTGTTCCAAGGCTGTCGCATGATATTCTGCGAGCGGATGTTTCTGAAAATCGGGGCTTTGTCTTCAAAACAGTGTCAACTAAGGACACGCCAGCTGCAAAACAAAGCAACACAACAGCCTAACTCAGCTCATAAACAAGCCATATAGAAAAAACACGATGTCATCATATGCCAGCAAAACAGCATTTAGTTCATAATTACTCGACATTCAAGACCCACTTATGTGATATAGATGAAATAGACTTTTAACACTAGATGCGGAGTAGAGAAGTAATGCATAAGTTCATCATCTTGGAATTAAACACGTGAATTATCTAAATCTTGTTAAGCAAGGAGATGTATGTAAGATAAAAAAAGTAAATTATGGACCTACAAACACGCCTAACGTTTTTCATCTAAAATCTATTATTTCTTCTAGACTCTGAGTTTACTTGAACCCAACAAAATTATAGCAAGTTGTAGCGTAATAGAAAAAATGAAATGTTACAGCAGTCCAGACATTAAACTGTCATTAGGCTTTTGGTAAATTGTAGGCACTTTTGACTGGGCTTTTATTTTGGGACTCGCACAAAAGTAGCTGCTCTGGGCCCACAATTAGCAGGAGCATTGAACGCACGAAAAGCTGCTTATTGATTTTATTATGTAACCAGTCAGTTAGTCAGTAAGGCAGCCAGTCAGACGGTTGGCCTTTTTACTTGGCTCGGATTATAGACAATGCGTGCGCTTGGCTTGGCAACATTATTGCAGGTAGCGAGCAAGTCGATGAGATCCAAACCCAACTAGAACTGTGCTCAATGAGCTGATCAGCTGGAAGAAAGTGCGCTGCAATATTGACAAAATATTGCGCAACTAATGAGCCACATATGAGAATACACATATATATATGGACATATGTCCATATATCTATACAAGTGTGCACGAGTTGCCCTTGTATTTAATAGCAATTTAAAAAGACACTAACTTCAAATGAAAGTACCAGTAAAGGAAAAAATAAAAATATACTAGACAGATATATAATTTAACACAGCAGTAGGGAAACTTCGCTGCCCCGAACTCATTTCAAGCATGCGGAATTTTCTATTTTTCCTTCTTCCTAATGTCTGAACTTTTTTCGTTTCAGTGCATTGACGCTGCTTTTTGCTTAAGCTGACTCGTTTGATGTGTTCTCTCGTGTACTTGGATGAAAAACAATGCCAATTATAACAAGGATCGCAAACGAGATATATGTATATAACAAAATGAGGATGTACGCTTTATACGACAAAACTGGGTATTCTAGCATCGAGCAGGATTTAAAGTGCTAAATGTGTATGACAAGGAAATATTAAAGCTTCAGCTCAATGGGGAAAGCTATACAATTCGAGGATGTTCTGAGATTTACTGTTAACACTTCTTGTCTTGGGATATTTTCATTATATATTATAATAATAATATATTTATTATAGTATATTAAGGGTATAACTTATGTGGGTACTCTAAACTAAATATGTATATATACTCTAAACTAAATATGTATATATTAGCTACAAATATGCACAGTATAATTGGGTAATTTTTGTTTAATATTTATTAGGATTTTAGTGACAAGGATTTAGTATACAAATTGAGATTTTAATTTCCTTTTTTATTGTAGACTTAATAGAATATTTAAAAACTTATTTCGTTCATTTACATTTCAATTATCACTTAGGGCTCTATTTATGAATACTTATTTATTTTTTTTTTATAAATGTTATTTAGAACGTTTCATGTTTATTTATAATGTTCCGAGTGCAGGACACAAAACAAAATGCCGACAAAAAGTGTGTGTGGTTATTTATAAATGTCAAATCTGATTTTTACAATTATTTATAAAACATTTCTGGCAGTTGATGCAATTGCTAATTGCAATCACTTTTGCACTGAAAAAACAATTGCTGTATTAGACACAGGACAAAGACGCACAAACAAAGAGATGAATTTTTATATTGCTGGCTGCTAATATGCAGACATAGTTACTGTATGTTTATTATTTCGTTGAACCATCCAAACCAGTTTCAAAATATTGTCTAAAATTGATTCGGAGTTGAAACACGAAAAGGAACTGTGAACTTATATTCGTGGATGTGTTTTACCAGGTTGTTATTGACAATGGCTCTGATGTGTCATGTTTATAATGTGTATATGTGTGTGTATAGTTTTATACACTTTCATTTGATATCATTTTTTATTAAATAAAGAAAACGGGGCAAAGACGTCACTCAACAATCTACACGTATAGAGTTTAAAAAATTGATATGCAGTCGATATGAATATTGAGGATATTTTATTTATACGAGCTACAACCGCTACGAGGATAATAAAACTTACTATTTAAGAGTATCAAATCGAATTGAATGAGAAATATTAGAAAATATTAAAGGGACAAAACTTTAAGCTACGCACAAGTTGCCATTAATTTTGTGAATGAGAGTTCAAAAAATGTGTCCAAAAGTTTAATGGTTGTTTTAAGCTACCAATCTTGATGTTTACACTACTAAAACAGATACGTGTTGTTACTCACCCTTCGTGGTCTTGAATCCCTGATTTATTGCACGCGTGGTGCGCACGGCCGCTCGATATATACGCCAATAGAAGAAGAGCATTACAAACATGGGTATATAGAAGGAGCCCAATGCAGAGTAGAGCACATAGCCCCTGTCATTGGTAAGCTCACATTTCCAGGGGCAACTTGTTGCCGGTTGTGGCACATTCAATACTGGTGCATTTAACATATTAGAATCCATTTCGGTGCTAGGCGAAATTGTGCTTGTTGTCGTCATGGCTGCAATATGTATTTCAGCAGAGTCATCGATTGGCGAGAAGTTGGGATCGTATGGATTGTAGGCATTGCCATTACCATTGCCATTGACACTGCCATGTTTAGTTAACAAGGAGGCAGCAGCATCCTGCTCCTCCTTTTGCTTAATTCTATCTACATCTAGTTGCTCATCCTGTGTGCTTGACATTGTGGTGGCATAGTAAAGCGTATAGTTTCCCCGTGTGTAGGTCGGCTGTACCATGGCCTGAAAGAAAAACACACACGTATATACACACGTATATTATATATATTTGACACTCGGCGGGTTTTTATTAAAAGCTTTATTATCTGGCTAACCCTATTGAGGTATATATGAAATGCAATGGTTTATATTAAATGCTTTGTCATCCAGCTAACCCATTGAAATTCTAGACTCGCACACAAAAATTTCAGAGTCACACATTGCTCACAACAAGCCAATAAAAATTCAACTTAAAGCGGTTTATTTTGCAAAAGATATTCTGGGACGTGTTCTGCATAAATATTATGCCAAGGTGTAGCATACATTTAAGCGCCAGGAACTGGATGTACATATGTACTTATGGTTACACAAGAAGTCAAAGTATAGTCGGCAAAGCGATACTCTGCATCGCACTTTAGTTTCGGCTTCAATTCGTTTAAAAGCCTAATATCTCTTGCTACAAGCCTAATATCTCTTGCTATTAAAATTTGTAAAGATGCTAACAGTTCTGATAATTGTCATTGATATAATTATAGAAACCGCCCACTTAAGTCATTTCTAAATTTAAGAGTACTCTTAAGTGTTAAGTGTTAAGTGAAGTCCACGCAGTTTAAAGCTTCTTGCAAATGCCAAGGGCGACATTTGCAGGGCACATATGATATGTTCTGCCATTTGCAGAGTTGGCGATGGAATATATACACCTGATTTGAAATTGAATGAAGTCAAGTGAGAGAGTGTGGGATAAGACGCTGTCACTGGCCGAATGCCACAAGGCAGTCAGATAATAATAATCGATGCCACCAGCTGCTGTTCGTATAAATTAGGCTTCAATTATGCTCCGAAAATCACTTCGAGTCCAGGGCAGTTCCAAGCCGAATTGAATGCATTCAGTAGATGCGCTTATAAGATATTTGTACATTAATGTGAATACGACCTAAGGCAACTGTTGCGAGTTGACTGGTACAATTCGATGGGCATCTGCCATTAAGATTAAGCAAACAAACAGGACAATACTGCGCCACAAGCTATGCTAGATTTATGTGCCCTAAATGGGCTGCCCAAGTGACATACATATTTGTAGGTGGCTCCCACTTGTCTCTATCAACTGCAAAGTTGAAACAATATGGCTAGTAAATTTGAGCCAACTTAGCCTAAGGCTCGTTGGACAATAACAGCAGACACACAAGCACACAGCCCACACAGGCCCACACCCACATACATACACCCACATTTTGTGCACAATAAAGTGTTGCAGGAAGTCGTAATTCGTTGGACCAGTTAGTAGCCATATCGCCGTTGATCTGATTACCCAAGTACAGGGCTCACACACATGAATTATGCCATGCTGTCTGTCGTCGCCTGCCGTCCGTCGTGCCTGTATTCCGTGCCCTCATGTTGGGTACATCATTATCATTGCCATTACATAAGAATTTTTATGCATGTGTGCCAAAAATGACAACACAAGAACAGTCGCACTGCTGACAACAATGAGCCAAAATAGCTTGGAAAAGGAGAATGGCAAAAGTCGAAATACTCAGTAAAAGCTATGAGTCGGGTAGCTCGACGTGAAGAATTCCATAAATGTTGCCTAGTCTAGACATGTTTGCCATAATTTGTGTCTGTTTTCAATTTATGTTGATTTAATTATAATCAAGTGAACTGTAATGAAGGCATAGATTATTAATTGTATTTTTGCGCCAGTAACAGGGTATTTTCTACTCATAGTAACTTGATCAAAGTGTTTTCATTTGTTTTACGGGCATGCTGACACAAGTTAGCTAGATTGCAGGCTTTGAAGACTTTCAACACTTGCCACATTTTCAGCTGCGGTTAGACAACGGTTTTGTCCAAAACTTTAACTTGTAATGATGTCAATGACAGAATATTGTGGCCGAAGGGTCGCCTAAGCGTCGGACTGAAGTCGCTTTTGTTGTTGCCCGTGTTACAAGCGAGTGGGTTGCCTGCCAAAAGCAGTTTTCATGGTTTCAATGCAGTACAGAAAAGCACTTTGCACTTAAATTGGTTGTAATTGTGGATAGGCTTATGTCTGTGAAGTTAGGTTCCTTACCTTTTGATCTTTCCAGCCCACCAAAGGCGGGAAGCAAATTACAAATGAGAGTACCCAAATGCCGGCAATTAACGACTTGGCCTTCTTCGTTGACATAATGCTTGGATAGGTGACGGGTCGCGTGACTGCCACGTACCGATCTAAAGATATGGCACATAGATTCAGGATCGATGCCGTGCACATCCAGACGTCTACTGCCAACCAAATGCGACACCAAACGTCACCAAATATCCAAACCTAAATAAAATGAATTCAGAAACTGTATTATTTGCTGTTTTGTTATTTGAAAACTTAGGTGCACTTACCTTGAACACCTCCCAGGTAGCCGAGAATGGTAGCACCGCCAGACCCACCAGTAAATCGGCAACGGCCAAGTTAACAATAAAAAAATTGGTAACACTACGTAATTTGTTTGAACAGAAGACGGCGGCAATGACTAGACAATTGCCACCAATGACCAATACGTTGATAAACTCGAGTATGGCCAAAGAGATCAGGTTCGCCGGCTCCGTCCATTTCACAGATTTAATGAGATCCTCACACTCTGTTTCATTCATGGCGGTACTTTTGTGATGGGTGTATACTTGTGTTTACCACCTGCAAGCCAAGTTAATAAGAAACAGCAAGCGTTACTAAAAGTCCATTCAAAGCATAATTAGCTGGAAGCTTTAGGCCACACAGACTGTGCGTGGTCGGCATGCCTAATTAATTTATGAAAATAAATAGATATCAGACCAAAATTTCAAGTTCTAGAGGCATGGCCAACATAACAATGGCCAAAACAAATGCGTTTTATATATTGTGTGGGCTGGTGAGCTTGATACACCTCTTCAAAAGTTAAATAAATGGCCTGCCGACAGGAAATTGGAGGCCGTTCAGATACTGCGGTCTTCTCGGCTTAAGAATATACTTACCAAAACTACGGGACCACAATATATAAGCTATAAGCTAAAAATGCCGTCAACTACTATTTATAAATTAATTACGGGCTAAGTGCTGGAAACGGAAGTGCAACAGCATTTTACACAGTGGATGTGGCAGGCTGGTGTCCACATTGTAATTTAATTGCGGCCCTTAATTGCCATCATTTTGGACATGTTTGTTAAATGTAGCTACCAATTATCATTCTGAATTTATGAATGAACTCAAATTCAAATACGGATTACCAGTGCGATTGCTATCGGCTAATCAGAAACGCAGTAAAGACAACGCAAATTCGAAGTACCCGCATTTAAATTCGCGCTCGATTTGGACAGTAATCAATATTTGTGGCAAACAGTAGTTGAAATTATTTGCAACTTTAATGTTCTAATGGCTGAGCAGCAAAAGGCAACAAGACATTATTTCATATTGGGCTTGTGCGACGTAATTGCAGAGCATGAAATATTCAAAGCACGCAATAAATCGATTACACTTTATTTGACTTTTGTACTGACAATACAATACATCAATTCTAGTAGAGGTTTCTTTGCCGAATAAGTTATTTGCATACCATGATTTACCACAAACCAAAATGTTGTCAATTGCGGCTGATATAGCCGATTTGCCAATAGAGCACTGTTTTTTCAATTTTCGTACTATCATTTAATATTAAATGTCAGAAAGTTATTTCCCACAGCAATCAATTAAGCTTGAGTCAGTGTCAAGGAAAAAATTGACGTTGATCGAAATTTACTATTCAAGCTATGTCGTATTGATTGTGTTCAAGAATAACCGTCGATTATATTAATAATATTTGATGCAAGCATATTTCCTTATCCTGTCGGAATTTTATTTGTAATTATTAAGGCTGAATTTATTTTGTTTGAATATTGTTTTTTGAAAACAAGTCAAGTAAATTCTGAGAAAAAAATGTCAACTCATAAAGTGAATATTTATATAATCATATAAAGATGTTCTGTAAAAGAGCTAACAAACATGTATTGCTACTTGTTACTCGAATGTCGTTGTCTAAAGAATTTCGTCAGTAAAAAGTGCGAAGCTTTTGTCTGCTCAAAATAAAATTAATCAGTGGCACTTGGTCTGAGTGAAAGGCAGCCGAAATTACTCACATGACAAACAATATATATGTAGTATAAGCCGGCAGAAGCAGCCTTTGTGGACAAGGCTGCCAAATATTTTATAGGGCGCCGACGGCGGGGGCGTTATGGCATGCGCCATAGAGAGTTTTCGGTTGCGTTGAAAATTAAAAGTATATACAAAAGCTTTTCATTTTAGTGCAATATCCGTCATTTTACTTTCGAAGGAAGTTCGCGTGGTAAAAATAGCTTTATGGCAGCTAATAATGAAAAATGACAAAATTGAGTTACAAGTTGAAATTTGCCGACATTAAATTGTTGCGCATGATAAATAATTGACATTTAAAATGAGAAGCGTCAATAAATCCCCAAAAAGCTTTTTTAACACGGCCCACATGATGCACACGCAGTTTTGGACTTTCGTAACGCATACGCCCAGTTGGCGAAGGCTTTATAGCCAACGGCATTAAATGTGTGGCCAGTGCATGGAAGCGGTAAATTTCAGGGCGCAATGTGCTCAATTTAATTATATGGCATAAAAAGTTGACCGGATTTCGAAATGGCTATTTGAATAAGAGCTGGCGGGATGCAGAGAGAGCATAAAATTTCAATAATAGGAAATCTACTGGTATGCAAATGCAAAAACATTCAACTGTAAATATACTTAATTCAGCATAGATAAAAGATATTTGTATGAATAAAATTATAGACACATTATTGAGTTTGTATTATCAGAACTCAATGCATGGATGTCAATAAAACAAATAATTAATGTTAAGCAAATTATCAGCGCAGCCAAGAATCAAACTCGGCAAACAAATATGAAACCGGTTGGGATAGACTACGTATGCATAACATTCTGTTATGTAAAATTAATTTCCGAAACTTCACTCGCATTCTGGCAACATATTGTTGAGCAGAAGTTTAATTTGCATTCTAATTTATTTATGTTTAGCAAAATTACTTGCGACTTGCTGCTTGCCTGGGGGAAAAGGCAATGGTAAGCTTGGCAAAGGAGACTTCTATATATAAAATAAAAACAGAACTTTACTGAATAGCAAAATAAACAAAAGTTTTTCACGTTCAGTTGCGCTTTGGTGGCAGCTCGCAGTCTTCAGGGCATTCAAATGCAAGTATTTTGACTTATGACAATGGATTTTCTTTAGCAATCTCAAATAATATGAATATTTTTTTTAATTTTCAAATAGTTTGCAGTTGAAAAGACATTAAAGTTGTAATTTTAACGTTTCTTTATAAGTGCTGTAATATAAAGTTCATGTCCAATGTCTTTTATAGAATCGGTTTTAGTGCTCATTTATCAAATTTTTTGTTAGCTCTCTGAAGATCTAAAATTTTCCAGCCACAAATGAAATTCACCGCTAATTAGTGCAACTAGCCACGCGCCACGAAATAAGCTGAATTAAGTGCGAAATTTGCAACAATTTTGTGCGAAAGTGCACCATCGCACGTACCCACAGAATGCCATAAAATGCCACAATACAAACTGAGATAAACCCGTTTTTTTGTGCCCTGTAATTTGCGGCAGACGCATTTCTGTGTTAGCAACCAGCAAGAACTTTTAATTTAATTCTGATAATTGCTCGCGAATTGCGGCCACCAGCAAATAGATAAGAGATAAAAATAATAATATTAAAAATTCCACCCACCAAATAACTACTCGCAATTTACAAATTTTCATTTGACTTCAAGTAGAGCATTTACAGAGGATACTTGAGAGGGCTTTGCATAAAGCAAAAACTACACTTGAATTAAATTAATCCTACTGTTACAACTGCCAAATTAAAGCTTATACAATGTCAAATTGAAGCAAAAGCTGAGTCTTGCTTCAAGTTACTAAGATGATCTTAAAGGCTCAGCTAAATAGTTTGACTATTAACAGAGTCCTAAAATCCTAGACAAATACTATAACATTCATCTCTACTGTTTAATGCGCTTTTTACGAGCTGGCGTGCAACGTGTGTTGGCGCGATTCGGTGTCGTATACGTTACGCGTGACGCGCACACACATGCACATACACATGCTAACATGCGCGTAGCTCATAAAAGCAACGCCTCGCTACCAATGTCGCAAGCGGCATGTAGATTTACCCTTAGAATTTATTGCCACACATTTTACTAACGGTAACTGCACTCCTCACGGAATAAAGAACATGCTGCTCACAGCTGTGTTAACCTGACAGTTACAATATAATCAATGTCTATGGCACATATCAACTTGTCAATGCTGATTGCAGCACGCAGAATAAGAGTCGACACAACTGCTGCAATGTGCAACTGCGTCGCTACAGCTGCCACACGTGCCACATTCCACTTGCTGGTGCCTTTTCCGATTTACTGTTGAAATGTGTAAATTGCCTACTACCATACAAACAGGTTGCGTCCCAGTGGTACCAAAGTCCTAACTGTGTACTCTGCAGGATGTGCGTGCTTCTATTAACAGCGGAAACATGCAGCGGAAATATAAACAGGAAATGTTGCCAACAATATTTTCAACACGCCAACTTGATTAATTGCAGATACACATTTAAAGTTTTATGACGAATGAGTGCTAAGAATAGTTTTAATAGTTTTAATTATACTACAAAGCTACTAAACCTGCATCAAAGAAAACTCTCCCTATGCCTTGGGTGACTGTCATAAAATGAGAAAATCTACATAATATATTTATATACATTATAATTCTTTCAGTTTATGGCTATATTCCTACCGCAAGCTAATGATATTTTTGCATATGTATATGACTAAGATATCTTATTGGCCTTTTACCAATATTTAGATACTGATTGATGGATAAATAGTAGCTCTCGTTGCGTTTGTAAATGCAGGTTAATTGATTCAATAACTGTACTTTTTGATTTACCTGTAGCAGCAGGCTGTTGGATACTTGTAACCATGAATTACGTTTAGTTCGTTGCTGTCGCCTTATTATGGCCATGTTGTTATCGTAGCTGATGTTGGCAAATATTGGCCAACGTTAAAGCCCCAATAGCTTCGTCTGCTTGCCGTTGCTAGTTTGCGTCCACACGTCGTCTCCATTCAGAACATAAATCAGTTTTGCCCCTGTGTATTGGTGTGGTGTGTACAAACTGAGCCGCTGACGCTGGGGCACGGAGCTGTCTGTACAATGTGTAGCTTGTGTTTACATGCAACAATACGAAGTACGATTCACTTTGAGCTGCACTGTCACTGGCACCGTTGGCTCTCACTGAGCCAGCAGCACATTCATCAGCAAAATTCTTGCTCGATGGTTTACACGACTGTCTAAAAGCTTCGACCACCGTTTTTGTCACGGAGTCGAACGTGTTGGTATAAGTTTTCTCGTTTTCCTTCGTTTTTTTTCTCAGATTGTCAAATTCTATTTTTCTCTCACATTTATGCTGCAAAGGGAGAAAGAGAAGTAAAATAAGTTAGCGAATGGGTTAACATATTGCACGGACGTATACACAATGTGAGTCATGTCACCTGTGTACTAACACGTAATGAAATATAGTTACTACAGATGTTGCACTTAAAATCGATTGCAAAAATGCTTTCAATCTTTCAAGCTGGTCGCCAGCAAGCAGAGTAAAACTGCAATCAAAATTTAATTGCTGAGTTTTCAATAACTTGTTTGCCAACAAATCCCAATGCGCAAATCACCTGTTCATTTAATAAGTTGGCAGCAATTTATTATTTTAAATTGCCATTGGCAAAGTTTTCTTCTTATTAATCAAACTAAATTGTAAGGCTCTTACTGCATATTTTTCATGGATATTCAAGTTTTTCCCAGAAATATATTTTTTTCCATGGCCTCTTGTGGTTGCATTTCTGACGTAGTTTTCGGTTGAATTTTGCCCAATTCACTCATTTCATGCGCTGTCATTTTTCAGCTTGGCCGCATTTCTTACAGACCCACAAACTGTCAGATAGTCTTTCTCTTCTTTTCACCAGCTACGAAAATGAAACGTCAAAGTGCAAAGTAGGACAAATTGCATTTCCATTGTTAATTTGTATGCATAGCTTGCAACGTCTTTCCGCCCGTTGCCCATGCAAATTAGCTTTAACATTCTTATAGGCAGACATAAAAATCGTTACTTCCAGCACCCAAAAACTTTTTCAATTCAAGTTTGTTGAGCCTACACTATTGAATATCGAACAGAAATCAATATGTTATTTTACTTTTATTATTTTGACGATTCTTTGTTCAATTAGATTATAGCAAATGCTTTTATATTATATTACGCGCACGCACAGCTCACTCCACCATATATCTATATAATCTATGATATATGATTATTTGGCTATAACAGTAAAGGTCAAAAGTGTTTCAAATGTCAAATAATGGACGGTAATTAAATAACATGAGCTTTGATACATAGGTATTTGTAGTATTCTTGAATATGACGCAATATTCTACTAAATGAAAACTTACTTTTTTAAACTACGAAAATGATAACTATTTTTACTTAACAACTTATTTGGCTTTCAATGGTATAATCTAAATCTGTGAAGGTTTATTTCTGTGACACGCCTTTAAATTTAGCTTTTTATGAATAGGATCTAGGTATGCATAGTTATTTTCGGACAGAACTCTTGGGTCATCAGAATAATTTGTGTCAGCTAATTTCCATTTGGACAGCTAATGAATATGGTCAAAACGTGTATCTCTAAAAATGCGCCCTAATAATTTCTAATTTATTGAAGTAGCTAATAGCTTATAGCTGTTTAACATGAACACACGCGTCCGTGGAATGAGGCTCGATAGTTGTGGATCTAAACCTAAATTTTCAATTAATACATTGGTTGATAATTGGTCAGTTGAATATTTTGTCAAGCTATTGTAATTATTATAATTCATTTTCGAGTCAATTCTTAATTCCAACAATTTAAAATATAAGAAACACATACTTTTAGGCATACAGAAAATATTTATTTAAGTTTTTTAAAAAGTTTGAAATTAAAGCGATATTAAGTTTACATACTCTATGGTCTCAACAGCCACGATGAATGGAGATTTATTTGAAGTGTAATATACAAGTTAACACATAACATTTAATATAGGGTATTTCATAAGTTTATAATCAACCCTCGCTATCGCGTGTTTCGTAAGTTAAGAAACAGCCCTCGCAATTGCGACACTGCATACTTTGTATCAGCGCGCTATAACTGCAATGGTCAGCGGCGGTAACCAGATACTTTTGTTTACTGCAAGAGTTTCCGTTATTGCCTAAGATTGCTGAGTCGGCTTGCCGACCATGACATTGTGGTGTGATGCGAGTTTTGGCTTAGCTTAAGTGAAATATTCTATGTAGCTAAAAATCAGTTTTGCATTGAAGTTTGAAGAATAAACCCGCACTACTCCGGCACACCGCCGTAATCAAATTGTTATATTTCTGATCATTGCTGAGCCACAAGGCCAGTTAATAGAAAAGGGGGTGAAGTCAAACCCTCCAACATAATCATCATAAGAAGATTATAATTACCCGATCAACGCTGGACCTGCCACCGACGCCTAGCTCATAGCTGGACCAGCAACTTATTGATTAAGACTATAAATACCCGATCAACGCTGGACCTGCCACCGACGCCTAGTTCATCGCTGGACCAGCAACATATTAATTGGCGCCCAACGTAAAAAAAAAAAAAAAAAAAAAAAAAATTTTTTTTTTTTTTGGAATTTAAATCATATTAAACAAGCTTGCAGAAAAATTACGATTTATCCTGTCATTCACAAGAATTTCATATTGCGATTGCCTGACAACGTCATAGCCGAATGCGATGGAAAAACCCACACACTGCAGAGTTGCACCGCTTCACCTGGAGCCACCTTTTGTCGTCTGGCATTAGAGAGTTCATGTGCCAAAGAGCTCCATGCAGGTGGCACGGCACACTGTGAAATCCAGCCGAGCAACCTGGAAATAATCACCCACGTAGATGATGGAATCATCATTCTTAACGACGGGTCCGCAAGGATCCAGGTGGATAACGGCACTGAAATCCAAGTACACGGCACGCATCTCATTACGTTCGGGGACCGAGTCGCGATCAACGGGACTCTGTTTTACAACCACAACAACGTACGCAATAGAGTCCCGGGCATTGCCAACTCTCCCTTGCTGAACATCACTGCCAGCCAAGATGTCCTCAGCCTCCCTTATCTTCATCGTTTAAATGAACGTAATTTGGAGGAGATACAGCAATTCAAGAAAGACGCCGGAACTGATCAAGCTTATCGTGTGGCATTCATCATTGGAGGTATATGCTGTGCTTTAATCTGCATTGGCCTCACCCTTTGGCGGTTCATCGACGCAAGGAAGTCTGCGAAGCAATTACGAGAAGTCGTCGCCGGAATTGGGTCGGCCGAGGGCGGCCTTACACTTGAAGGGGGAGTAGTTAACACATAACATTTAATATAGGGTATTTCATAAGTTTATAATCAACCCTCGCTATCGCGTGTTTCGTAAGTTAAGAAACAGCCCTCGCAATTGCGACACTGCATACTTTGTATCAGCGCGCTATAACTGCAATGGTCAGCGGCGGTAACCAGATACTTTTGTTTACTGCAAGAGTTTCCGTTATTGCCTAAGATTGCTGAGTCGGCTTGCCGACCATGACATTGTGGTGTGATGCGAGTTTTGGCTTAGCTTAAGTGAAATATTCTATGTAGCTAAAAATCAGTTTTGCATTGAAGTTTGAAGAATAAACCCGCACTACTCCGGCACACCGCCGTAATCAAATTGTTATATTTCTGATCATTGCTGAGCCACAAGGCCAGTTAATAGAAAAGGGGGTGAAGTCAAACCCTCCAACATAATCATCATAAGAAGATTATAATTACCCGATCAACGCTGGACCTGCCACCGACGCCTAGCTCATAGCTGGACCAGCAACTTATTGATTAAGACTATAAATACCCGATCAACGCTGGACCTGCCACCGACGCCTAGTTCATCGCTGGACCAGCAACATATTAATTTACATATGTCATGTAATATATACTCGTTAAATAGATCATATATTCTGCTTAAGTGTTTGGGATTTTAAATTGTGTGGACCATTAGAAGATTAAATGACAGAAAAATTGCCATTAGGGTTCCTAACGTCCAGCTTAACTGCCATGGCAGGGCACGATGACTAACAACACCAGCAGCAATTGGCCATATTGTGTTGGTTATTGTTTGTGTGTGTATATGTATGTATGTATGCATATGTGTCGCTAACAAGGCGAAATCACTCGACTGCATAACAGATTGAGATTTAAAATGAATGCTATTTAAGTGTCGGGCACAACAGCTTTACCCTTGGTCCCCCATACAATTCTCGGCTCTCGTTGAAGCTGCTTACAATGAATGAAATTGTGTTCTCACTTGCGTAAATATGTGTAAAAATGCTTTACAACAACAACAACAACAACAACAACATAAGTTGCATGCCACTTGCATTAGGACGCGTCCGACTGGGCTGTCTTTCTTGGGAAAACGCACTTTAAAGGATGCTGTGGCACTTAAGTATGTGGCGATGTTGGTGTGCATGTATGTGAGTGTTTTATGACATTTATGTACATTGCTGTCCCAAATGCACCCACAGCACACACGCTAACACTTTGTATGCAAAATGTGCATATGTAAATGTAAGAAGTGCTGATGCGAACCAAGCGGCTAGTTCACTTCCGTCTAACAAAAGGATTTATGTGCCATGCACAACAAATAGGAAAAATGTGCAGCAATCTCACACAGACACACATTTGCACATAGACCCACCCACAACGAAAAGGATAGGAATATATAAGTGTGAGGCGTTGTCTTTGGCTTTGCATAAAAAATTGGCTGTGAAAACGCTTTGGGCAAATTTGTTTTCAGTTTTGCGTACACATTTCTCACTCTCTGCTCACATGCTCAGCAAGTTTCCCTTTCATGCTGTTCCGCGTCGTGTTTTACAGCTGTGCGGTTTTATTTACGTTTCAGCATTTTTCACATTTTACTTTCCAGCTTTTTTATTTGGCAAGGGAAAATATTTTTGTGGCCACAACTAAATTGCTAGACCATTTTGAACGTTTTTAAAAACAACTCGGCTTAGGCTATATACAAGAAATTTATAAAATAATTTATTATCAAGCTTAATTAATTTAATCTTCACTATTATTATAATATATATTTAGAGTATATATTGATATTAGCACTATGAAAAAAATGCGTTACAAATTGTATATTTATAAGACTCTAATACCCACACATGAATTCTCAACAATTTTATTACTTTAATTCATGGGAAAATCCCACAGTTTGTCACATGCATATACACATACATGCAGTAGGATCATTGGGGCGTGTCGCCAAAATGCTTCATAAACTGACTAATGAATGGCGTCAACATAAACGCTTGAATTGCTGGCAAAGCAACCATGTCACATAGCTAAAACTCAGCGAGTGAAATAGAATATAAATTGAAACTTTGCTTTTAATTAACTTAATCGGAATTGGCAACACGCATGAATTAAAACTAAAAGCAAATGAATTTCGGCAGGGCATAGCGCAATCTAATTAATTTGCCTACAAGAGAGAATTTGTTATTCGTATTGTAAAATTGTATTTCATTATTTACTAACAACAATTTGGACAAATAGTTTTGGGGATATGCCATTGAAAATTAAATTGAAATTGAAATTGAAATTGAGCAGAGCTCAGAAAACACACAGAGTACAGCACAATGCCAAATTGATGAGTTGTTGCCAATTTGAAATGCCAATCAAAATGACAGAACAACACAAATCGAATCCATAAATTGCAATACAATTTTTCTGGGTCTTATTTAATTTGATATACACTGTCGTCTGCCAGATATACATGAGTTTCTACTACAATTTGTCGTTGGGGTTACCCAGAAATCGCATTACCTGAGTGTGCCAGCTACAGAGACTTGATTCCTGTATAACATATATAATCAGCTTATGATAACATCGTTATTTTTCAACTTTGTCAATTGCATTAGTTTCATAAAGATAAATAATCCTGTTGTCAGTTGCTTTAAAAGAGAGTTAATTTTTTCAAAATTGTCATTTGAATAATAAGGGTATATTTATTTCGACTACTTGACTGTTGCCTTCATCTGCATAATAATTCAAAATGCAAGTGCATTTTTGTTATCGCACCGAGAAAACAATTTAAATGCCAATAAATGCATATATGCGCCAGGGGCGTGGCTTAAGGGGCCCCCAAAAAGGAATTTGATTCGTTTGTTTGTCTATCTCTGTGTCGGTTGCTTGACAGCTTTTACATTTGATTGAGTGTCAGATGAGTTTGACAATGACAAAACTAAATGACAAATTATTAAAGTGAGCAGAATAAATCATTAAAATAACTTCCATGGCGTACAATTAATTAGCAAGAAATGAAAAAGTTGACGCCATTAATTGACATTTTCTTGTAGGCATTTTATGCAACGTAAGGTAAGGTGTATGTGCCCTTTTGAGTGTGTGTGTGGGTGTAAGCTTGTGCAGTTCATTTGGCACGTTTCGGATATAATCCCAGCTCGGAGTGTAATTCGTTAAAAGTCACTGTGGGGACATCTAGAAGCGCACTGTGCTGTCTGGCAAAGCTCATTTCCGTTTTATATTTAAACACTTGAGGCTAAAATGTTTGCTTTGCCCAATGCTCCGAGCTGTGAAGCAGCAACGCAGTGCAAAATCATCATAAAAAAGGCAAGAAATGAAAAAATAAATAGCCAGCCAAAGCAGGAGGCAAGTTCTTGTCTATGAGTCGCTCGAGGTGCAGGCGGAGGTGTAGTTGGTAGTGCTTAGCGAGTGGATTTTTAAATTAGTTTCCCGACTCTCACAGACATGCAGTCCAAAGGTCGAGAGGACGAGAGGACACGAGGGCACAGAGTGAACTGTTTGGCGACCTTCTTTGGGGCAAATGGACTTCCAAGTCATTGGATGTGACATTTTGGTGCTTATTTAAATGAATTAAGTGATTTTTCAAGTGCTAAGCTCGCCACGAGCTGCAAACTCATTTCCGCTCACTTCGCATTCGCTTTTTATTTTTGTAGCAGCTCTTGGCTCTTTAAGGTTCATTTGATTTTCATTTTTTGCGGCTACAACGAGCTGTTTATTTACAGGCAATCAAAACTTTAACAGCCGCTCGCAATTTGCCGTCGGTGTTTTATGACACTCTATATATTTAGACGGCAACGAAATGTTTTAACAAAACGCAAAATATAAATAAACCTGCTTTAAGGCAATAGTTAAGTTGAAGCGCAGAGAAGATACTCTATTCTGTCGTAAATACACACACACAATGCATATTGATGTATATACACCAAGTGTAGGTAGTGCTTGAACGCCGAAATGTATGTTGAAATGTATTTGCTACAAGAGGGACACATAAGATTTAAGAGGCTCCCTGCCTTTCCGCCCATGGCCCATCTTAAGCAAAATAGCTCCTGGACAGTTGGGTAAAAGTTGGGAAAACTAAATAAAAAGCATGTGTGCTCCAGTCTCCAATTAGGGCTTAAGACGTTTTATTATGCAACAGCCTAGAGCTCAGCGTTGGCAGTGGTAAGTGGTTTAGTGTTATTTTTAGTAGCAAGCTTAAACGGATAATTCACTTAATATATCGGAAATATTATCAATAAGTATGTACTCTGTGTTGCTTACAATCCATTTCAGAACGTTCTATTGCCAGCTCCTGCTTTTATCTATGTTTATGCATGAAACATTAGCACATTAACAATTCATTCGTTGAAACAGACCTGTGAGAATTTCGTTTGGCTAGAGTAGGGTATAAAATCACGTAATTACGACGTGTGCCCTCATAAACAATGTGTAAAAGACAATGTGCAGAAATAAACCTAAAATAATTTCGACTTACTTAACTTATTTTTCCATTTTCCCTTTGTCTGTTCAGTAATTTTTTGGCACACATTGGTCATGCGGCGTATGCGCAATGAGGTTTGCCAGTCAGCTTTTATCATTGTTTGCTTTCCACCCCTTCCTGGGACTATTGTTGCATAGCACTGAGGACACGTGTGCCTTGAAAGGCGTGAGGTGACAATATTGCAATAAAGTGTCAAAGTTGCACGCAAAAAAAAGAAGAAAACGCGAATCGCTTAAAACAAGCGTTTACAAGTCATGAAAGGGCTGTGCCGTGTCATACCTTCAGCCCGTTTTTGTACCTACAATGTCTACATCGCTGGTCTCAAACGGTTTTATTGTTATGCTATTGTTATTTAATGCCAAGTTTAATGCCAGCACACACAAACTGCAGACACCTAAAACAATTTTATAACCAACCCATAAATAAGTATATGTTCCAACTGCCTTCCTTATAAGTATGTACGTGTGGGTCTGTCTCGCGCTCTCTGATAAAGCCTGCCCGCGTCTTATTAGCCACCCAGTCACCAACTACTAGTTGTTAGTTTCCATTTCCCGCGCAGATACACAAGTTCACACATACAGAGAGACACACATGTTATTTTTGCCATACATTTCTCACTTTGTTTGTTGTACATTTGAATATTTTTCGCTTTTGTTTTGGTATTCAACTGTTCTAAAGAATCTCAGGTTTCAGAACCTAATGCACGTAGGCTGCGTCTGTCGTCGAGTTATTATTATTATATTGTCGTTGCTATTTACTTTAGACAAAGAAATGTTGTAAAACAATTTTGCTTGCATTCTCAGAGTGCAACACATGACAAAACTCATTGAGTTAAAAAACCACAAATTGATTGCATAGAGCACAAGTGCCACCAAACCCCACTCTTAAATCAAATACATGAAAATGCTTCTATACGTATTATTAATTCATGTTAACCTTTGTTAAATCGAATTACTGACTGTCAAGTAGTAAAAGTGTCACTTAAACACTGGTGAGGATCAGCAGTAATTGAGACCTGACTGTCTTAACAGAAAGTAATTCAACTTAAAATGTGATGAAGTGCACTTAAATAGTTTACTTTTTGGTCATTTTAAAAGTTAACAAATCCACTTCAAAACAGTTATTGCTGCTCAGTGAAATATTTAAGGTCTGATCTGAGATGATTGTGGTAGTTTCGAGATACCAGTCCAACTTGTTGTGCCAACTTTAATCATTTCTACACTGGAAGCCTCCTATTTAATTTGGCTGAGAGAATTACTATAACAAGATCTGTTTGTTGTTAAGCACGTGCCATATTTGCAACAGCACAATATGAACAACAATACGCGTGTTTCTTTAATTGCATTTTGTAATGTGCCCTTCCGCCTTGCTGTTAATTACGCCGTTGTCTTAAACAAAACAAAAACGCCAAACAAAACACTCGAAGAGAAAAAAGGCAAAATTTCCATAGCTACAGCGAGAGCAATAACAAATTGTAATTAGCCGAAGTGGCGGATTTACGGCTGGTGCCAAGTGCAATAAAAGTCATTCAAAATCGTTGCACTTGAGAGTTCAGCTCTGAAATGATACGATACCCAGCCCAAAAATAAGAGACGCCTATTACCAATATCAATTTGCATAGCACAATGCCGCTGGCAGCTGAACACAAAAAAGTGCGTTTCGCTCAACTTGAAACTTACCTGAATAAATCATCGAGTTTGCGATTGCGATTGCGATCTTGAAGCCGACAACGACGAATACTCTGGGCGAGATTGGGGACACCAAATTGATTGGAAATTCGGTCAAGTTTTTAGTTTTTGTTGCTGCCGTTGCTACCGTTGATGCACTTCAGAGGCGGTAACCGGCTTGACAGTTTGCTTAAAATTTGTTTTTTTTTTTTTAGATATTTGTTGGTGTTGTCTTTGTCGCTCTAGTTGCTACGCATTGAAAAAAAAAAACGTATTATTTATTCTGGTTTGAACATATTTTATGATTGGCTTAGCTGTGGCACGAATTATTCGCTTGAGCTAGCTGAAACACAATTAATTTGTTGATTGTAAGCGCACAATTTTTGCATAAATATTTATTAGCTGTCATGGTACGAATTATTTGGCAAAAGTAATTATAAAATGCTTAAGCTATTAGCTGACATTATGATTAAAGTATTGACAGCGTTGCATATTAATATCCAACGAATATCATTGTTAGACAGAAATGCAATTATTTCGATTATGACTTTAATAAACAGCTAAATTTCAATCAAAATTTCAAATTCGTTTTGAATTTCCTATTTAGCAGTCATTATGCAAATGGAAATACATTAAACACAATGAAATAATTTCCTAACGATGCTAATTGCTGCCAACAAAAGAAATTATTGTAACACACAAACAATACACATACACACACGCACATACACATAATGTAGCACGCGAAACACAATAAAATGTAATAAAAGACGTTTTACTCTTGATTTTAAATCTGAAAATGTATAACAAATGAGCATGAGTACATAAGTGCACTATTTCACACACACACAAACACCCACTCACACTCGATTTACAATTTGTTGATTTAATTAATAATTTTGTTTCGAATTGTTGCTTGTCTAAAATACATTTTACAGTGTGAAGCACGTATCCGCTGCAGTTGTTCAGCGTCTGGCATTAAGCGAGAAGCGCTCACTTAAATGAGATTATTCAATGTAATATTCAATTCATTCACTTGAGCATCAATTCACGGTTAAATCCTTGCACTTTTGTTCAATTCGAGGACTCGATGGCAACTGAATGCGTACAACGGAAACGCGGCTGCGATCACGACTTCGTTGCACGACAACGAACGCTCTGTACTTCGGCACCCACACACAGAAATACACAAACATATTGATACACACGCACATACACCAACACAGACAGCTACAGTGTACGTGTTCGATTATACTACCGTTATGACGGCTTAAAAATGGCGTCAATGTGAGCGTTTTTATGCGTTGCACAACCAACGCGGCGGCATTTTCAACACGAACTGATTGCCAATTCGATTCTAGTTGGCGCCACAGCCCCATGTGGAACGTTATGGAAATGGAACACAAGCAGAACAGCACAGCAGAGCACAGTGAGTTTTCCAATAAGACAGAACAGCAACAAATGTTGCTGTTGGCGGCGTCTGCGTTACAGACAAAATCGCATGCGATAAATGCGGTAATGATAGAATTACTTTTGGCCAAGTAGTATATCAATAACGGGACTAATTAGGCGCATTTTTTGTATATTTTTTTGTACTTTATCGGATTTGCAGGCGGGATTTCGTCTCAGAAATTTACTTTGATACGCGTCTACTTGTTAGCCATTTGACGCCGCTTCAGGGCGGCCGAAGGACAAACGAAGGGACGCATAATAAATGGAAGAGCATCAAGAAATTTGCCGTTGACCAGCAAAATGGGGCAATAAGGGAATAAAGGGGCACGCACTACTACACAGCGTACAAAAGTGTGAATTGTACAGAAAATTGTGTTGGGTTTTCCGTTTTGACACTCCCTTTTTGCTTTATTTGCCATTTCACTTGATGATCAAGTTGACATTGTCAATTTAGCAAATTTCTGCTTTGATTTTTATGAGGAAAAAAACTTATTTATGCTTTGATTACTTTGGTTACCCTTTGGAGTTAGGCAGCTGATTTGATGGCACTGTGCAACAGGGGATTACACCAGTTGGTCAATATGGATAATGGGCTACCTAAAACATTTTAAGGTTAGAGCGACCCTCAACGCTTATGACTACCACAAAAGAAAGTTATGAAAAGTAGCAGATTTTGAAGCTTAGCGAACTTTGTTTCCATTCATTGGTTGCTTGAATGAATTTCGTAACACAAACGTACTTTAATAATTTTGATAATTGTATTTTTAATTTTCTAAAAATCTACGAATACATATCAATTCTGATTATAACGCAAGCATTCCACAATTTGTTGACTTTTGTTTATTTGGAACGCCATAATTGTAGCCAGTGGTGTGATAAATACGCAGTAACCTCCCTCAGTATGGTTCACGTAGATACTGCTAGATACAATATACGCGTACATGCTCACGCAAACGCACAGACACCCTCATAACTGGAAACAACAAGGATTCATCGCTAATTAGGATAAACAGCTGTTGCCAAATTAATTACATATGATGGGCACATGAATATAAACATGAGTCGCCCATCGCTTAACAACAAATGCAAGCTTTATTCAGGCTAGCTATTTTACTCACACTACCAAATGGTTTCGAGTCAAACAATGAAAACGAACTGCTTTTATTTTGGCTCGTTCACATTGTATCTCATGCCGGCAATCCTTGTGGCAACAATAAATCTAACAATCAGCTGCCAAGCAGAAAGAAAAACTTTTTTGAATGGCCAAAAAGGAAAATGCAGGCAGCAGCTCTACGCTACTCGCTCCCTGTAAATTTGCATAAGCAGCCAGAAAATCCACTTGGACGTTGCACCTGACAGTCAGTAAGTCACCAGTGAAAAGTGCTGACTGTCTTTTTGGCTTAGGGGAAACCGGAAGACGGTGGAGCAGTGACAGGAGTAGGTGCGCAGCATGCAATCTGGAATATATTATGCTCCTTAAGCAAACGGTGGCTCGTCCTGTGGAAAAAGTCAACGCCTCGATCTAAGTGCATATTGTAAGGCAGCTCTTATGGTCGTCTTTTCACCATATGAAATAACTTAAAGAACAGTACAAAATTCATACAACTTTGCTGCACGTCGCGACGTTCGATGGAGCATTGGCATTGGCATATTCCTTTAACTTCACAATTTTATTATTTCATTATTGTTGTCCCAATTCTGGGAACTCATGCAAATTCCGATAATCAACTTATCTCATGATTTTGGGTGTTCAATTTGTACAAAGCTGATTACACACTTTTCTTACTTTTCAGCACAAAGTCCCGAAAATCGAGTACACCCACAAGAAAAAGAGATATTTGGTTTTTCAGGTTTTCTCTTTACATTTTTATCGATTTGCTACTCAACAATTAAGGGCTCAGACTAGGTTAATATTGGCCAAATATAATTGGCATAACGATTTATCAGAAGGGCATTAAAATTATTTATGCTTTAAGCATTACGAGTAGAATGCTGGAAGCCAGATATAAGCCATTTTTCTTGATAAGTTTTCCAAATTAAATTAAAATATTTGTAGTAATAATATTTAAGAAAACAATGAAAATTCAGTTTTTAAATGCATTAAGCTAAGGATATAATATAAGAGAAGACACTTTAAGTTGGGCTGGAGATTTATTTATTTATTTTTTTGACTGCTATTATTACACCTTTGATTGCATATCGCAATGCTTGGATTTATACAGATGCTTGAGAGCCTCTTTTATGCTGCTCAGTATCTCATGAAAGTCGCCCCTAATGCGACTGTTGTGCTGGCGCTTCTGTCACTCAAAGGCAAACACCTGTAATAAATATTCGTTTGCCGTTTCTGGTTTACGCTTTCGTTTCGGTCGGTTATCCTGGTTTGCTGGCTGCCTGCCAGATACATTTCGCTTGATTTTCCATGTGAGCGCACAGCAACAGTAGCAGCAGCAGCACTAGCAGCAGCGGAAAAAGCCAGTGATGAAAAACTGCCTGGCTAGCACATTTTCATATGGCATCGCCTGAGAATTTAACTCAATTCCCATTCAAGCAATGGAAGTGTGCATAAAATGCCAACACGGCAGGGCCATCATTCGGCCAACAGCGCGAAAGAAGTGCAGCCACGCACTTGATGTTATAAGCACCCGAGCTCAGCGAGTTCAGTGGCCACGCTTTGGGGCCGTTTACAGGCGATGGCCACATTTGGTTGCACATGTTGCACGATATATAATTAAACGTATGGAGCACACTTGTTTCTTAATTTAGCTTAGTGGTGTTTAATATAGCACACGTTGCTGATGCTGCTGCCTCTGTTGCTTCTGCTGCTGCGGTTGCTGCTTCCTTCCTGTAAGGTATTGCAGCAGGATGCTACTCGGCAGGATCGCACTTTAAATCTGACTGCAGTGTGGCACCATTTGCGCACATCTGAGCACTCAGTGTGTGTTATTAATTGCGTAATTTGTTTATTAATACACAAATGAGCACACACCTGGACCCAGAGACGTTGCCTATGCAATCCACTTACATTATGTGCAGCTAAAAGCCGTAAACTGTTTGCTGTAGGCAGGCCATGGCCTGAACAAAAGGAAGTTCTCTATCTGCAGCTATATTGTACTTCAAGCCACAGCTCGTTGTTGTGACTCACTCAACACAATTAAAGAGCTTACCTGCCTCGGCGTACACTCTCCGAGAATTTTAATCTCATTTCAACTGTGCAACAAACGAAAATTGCTCACGAACTTTTCCGCCAAGTGTTTGACTTGCAATTGAAATATTTTGCTTCAACATTTTTCCGACGCACACAGACAGACTTCGCCTGCGCTGAGGATCTGACTTGTGTGGCATAAATCAATTTTTATATGCTCTCCCTTCAGCAGCCTCTTTTTGCTTGCTGCTGCCTTCATTCTCTTTAATTGGCTGCACATGGAAAATTCTAATGGCAAACACGAGCGCAAGGCTCCTCATGGAGACCATGCGTGGAGCTGGTAACGCTTTAATTAAATTATAATTACCAGCGTCTTATTAGCCCAATTACAGACACCACCACAGCAGTAACCAAGCAAGGGCACGTGTCCGCACATCAACATGTGTCCTTCCGCTTTAATCTCAAGTCTCGCGCACTTTGCCATATTTAATTTAATAATAACATTTTCTCTAGAACCCTACATGTAATTAAGTTCAGTGACCATCGAGACAAACAAAAGCAAAATAATGGGGCTATTTTGCTATTGTGTTTATTGATATCTTATAAATAAACATAAAATATAAATAACAAATTGCAAGTCAATTAATAAAAGTAAGCTTCATCACACAATTATTATTGTTTTTATTTGTTCACACAGGAAATTGAATCAGAGTAAAGAATAATTTCATTTATGTATAACATTTTCTTTGTTAAATCTCTGATAAATATCGACAAATTATAAAACAAATCAATTTTAAAGTAAATGCTTTTAAGGTGCAACAAATTGAAATCTCTTTATATTTGATAAGCTAACCACAAATTCCACTTAGGCATCAAATGAAACTGTCGTTTAGAAAATTTCTGCTGTCAAGCCTTAAGCGGCTGTAAGAGAAAACTTAAACTGAACCCAATATATTTAAATTTAAAATTAATGCAGAAATTGCCATATATCATATATTTGTATTATCAGTAAATATGCATGCGAACGTATCGAGGCACACACATATCATACATATGCATATGGGTATTTACTGTTGCTGGCAAAATATGCGAAGTGCAATGCTTGGATGAGCAAGAAATATGCAAGTCATAGATGTTATGTTTATGTAGAGAGTCGTGCAATATTTATGTTTATCACGTAAGGCTGTTGCTGACGTATGCTGAAAGCTTGTGCATACCCCACACTGATTAATCAAAGCCCTCGTCGGGCAGCTATAACTTTTCCCAGTTTGACCAGGCACCAATATTGCGCATACGTCACGTTCGCATTTGAATGGCACCATCATGCCAGCGGCCAGGAATATTGTAAGGAGCAGGCCACTTGCAACCCAATGATTACAGCACAAAACACAAGCAGGTAACAGCACACTCTCACACACACACCCATACACAGTCTGTTGAGTTTTCAATTGCAGCAATCTGCTACTAGCTGTTGCCCGCAGGCAGCTGCAACAAGCTCAGTGAACAACCAAGAAAAATGAAGCCAATACAAAAACAGCACCCGGGGTGTCGAGTGCATTAGATGAATATTAAAAGCACTTTGCCAACAGCACTCAAAGCTCACCGATAGGTCAAGAGGGAGTATGGTAGGCAGTCAGTCAGTTAGTTCGTTTGTTGTTATTGTTGTTGCTGCTGTTGGCTTGCTGCTTGTGCTGCTTCTTCAGGACTTTCAGCCGTCATCAGTGC